TGTAAAATACAAGTAAAAAGGGAAAATTCAAATAGAAAATGTAAAATACAAGTAGAAAATGTAAAATACAAGTAGAAAATATAAAATAGAAATAGAAAATAGAAAATACAAGTGGAACATGTAAAATACAAGTAGAAAATGTCAAATGCCAAAGTAGAAATTAATTTCAGGAAGTATTCAACCATTTCCAAGTGTTATATGTATAACTATCTTCATTCTTCTTTCGTCAAAATAAGAATAACATTTGTTGCACATTTTATCTATGCAACAAAATTGTACACGTACGAAAAGGATTGAAGAGATTCGGTTTGCAGTATAAAATGAAATAAAGTAGGAAGTGGAGGAATAGTGAAACGATTGCTTTTTCTTTTTCGGGTGACCTGGCTGGAGGCGGAACGTGGATAGAAATTCCTCCAGATTCAAGGTTTAACCACGTCAAAGGTATCGGGTCCGACTTGATTCTCTTTAGAATTCTCTGGAGCTTCATCGGAGAATCACAGTACGATCGTGTTTCATGGTGTCGGATATACGCCATAAGCGAACGCTTCCGCGAGACCGCTTCGGGCTAACAAGGACATTCCATTGGAATACTACAATGTTGGGTGAAATTATAAAAATGGAAAATGTACATTCTACGGTATGTACGATGCCTGTTATCCTCAGAGTGAACACAAAAATGAAACAAAACGGGAGATTTAAGAAAAATAAATATAAGCTAGTTTTGTACGAACAATATTATAAGATGATAATAACAAATTTTCAGATAAACTGTTATTTAAATATGCTCGCGTATTATACAATCAGAAAGCACATAGTCTGATTTATTGTTTCACGTAAATGACTTTTATTTCCATTGTTTGTGATTGCATTGTGATTCCATTGTCTCTGATACTACTAAAACAAATATAGTATAAAAATGCAGGTTCGGGGGATTTTATTGAATCCGTTTAAAATTGTATTAATAATTACCATTACATAATTAACTATATTAACTATATTAATTATTAATATCAGCTTAACGTGTAATTGTGAATACAAGTCTTTGTAATAAATGAATGAATCTTTCAGTTTCTTTCTCAGCGCTGTAGAAACTTTAAAAAAGATGTAAAGCGTTTGTTAACTTGTTTCTTATTGGCTTGAAACTAATTTATCATTTTCTTTCTTTGATGTGAACGTAACACGTTTTATTAATGTCACTGTTTGAAATAATTTATAGCAGGTCCAATAAGTAGTCA